TGAGGAGGTGTCTGCGTTCTGGCGATTTACTCTGAAGGCTTCAGTAGAAGCTGCTGCTAGATAACTCCAAACTAAAATATACGCGGGTCTCAAACGTTGCCCGGGTGGGAACCTTCACAGGTCCTTTGGCGACCTTCCAGGATCCCGCCTACTGCAAAACAGACCAGAACCAGCTTACGACATGCTTTTATTCCGGCACTGATTACCTGATTCCGATCAGCTGTCTGGCCTCCGGCCGAGCCACTCCCTTCACTCCAGTAGCCGGCGCCCTAACCACACCCCACTGCCACACCAAGTAATTCACATCACAGACGCTGTAACCATTTTGGCTCGATTTAGCTCATTGACCATGATGGTCCAGCCCTATGATAGGTTTCTATCTAAGCTTGTTCTTCTGGCTCCAGACTAACTAGGGTTCCCGCGGGGTCTTAAAAAGTCTTACATTTGATAATCAGAATTTAAGGCCTTAAAAAGTCTTAAATATGATAAAAAAAATAAGGTCTTAAAAAATAATCGTATTTGAAAGGTTGAACTTTGCATCCCCCCGGCCCCTTATCGGCGAACACCCAGCTAGTAACCTAGCAACCAAGCTTCAGCTAGCGGCAGTCAGAAACTCATGTATCTTCGAATCTACTTACAAATAAATATGGTGAAGTGTAAGTTGAACCGTATTTGGTTTGAAAACATTGAATTTAGTGCTTGGTTGAAACCAGTGGAGGGGAACGTGTTTGAAGCCCGCTGCACCTTTAAAAAAAAAAAAAAGAATGTAGCATTAGCTAGGGCAGCATGCTCCCGCAACAACATCCGGGCGACGTGTGGGTCGACGTCAACCCTAAAAGCGGAGGTGCTGTGGATGCTAATCGTAGCTAAACACCAATCATACAACAGCAACGATGAAAGATTGTAGCCAAGGGAGCAGAACTCAGAAGATAGCCACACACACACACTTCTTCTTTCATAGCAATTCTCCTTCATACTTTCTTGCCGTGAAATAAGGCTTACATTCTATTTAAAGTGGTCTTAAAAAGTCTTACATTTGAGTTGGTGAACCCTACTAACTGTAAATCATACATTCATTTCATAATGCTATTGGACTACATAGAGTGCAGATAAAAGCTGATTCTGTTGTTTAATACATGCATGTTTTCTTTGAGAACAAATAGGTTCCCTGAAGGAGTCATCCATGTCATAAACCATTATTAAGTGTGGCATATAGATGTGTATGGTTAATATCAAATCTGAGTTCAGGTTAGTGTAGGGTAAATCCAAATGTTCAGGGATTATGTCCATAATATTGCCATAATGTCCAATTATTGCACATTATGATCCAACTTTGGCTCAAACACTGTACTGAATGCCGAGAAACAGTCTGTTACATACCCCCTCTAAAATAATCACTTTAATGGTCAAATGGTTGTCAATATTGTAGTTTTTGTTGTTGTCAACAACTGCCATAAAAACCCAAATCTAGGATGAATTGATCCTACTAACAGCTGTTATACGCTAGACAGTAATGTAAGTGTTACAGTATGTACATTGTTCCTCTGTGCCATAGGGCGCATTTTGTTCCATTCTTCAGTGAGCCACAGCATATACTATAAACCAGTGATTCCCAAACTTTTTCCGTCGGGACCCCCTTGGGTAATTGGAAATATTTTCGGGACCCCCCCAACCCGGTTCCCATCTTTATTGGTAGGATTAATTGTATATTGTTGTAAAAACATTACATTTTCTCTGCTAATAATAAGAAGATACAAAGATCCAACTATAATTTTATATTTTATTATGGATTACACATGAACAAAAGTGCTTGTTATAGATACTGTGAATTAATTTGGCCTAATTAAAACTAGTAGGCCTTCTTCCCTGAGTAGTAGATTTTTAAATTCAAATTTAACACTTAACTACTATTTCTACTGCAGGTTGCAAACGATCACATCATTTTACCATTCCTATTCCACACCTATCAATGACTTGTGTGTGCTCGCTTTCNTTTGCAATCCGCCCAGTCAATCAGAAATAGGAACCTTTTTCTCCCACGAAAGTCCCTGCTCTCTAGCAGGGACGGAAAAGGGGTTAAAAGGTTCTCATGAACTAATTTGAGTTCCGGCTCTTTTTGGTGTGAACGCGACATTTCGGAACTATATCGGAACTAAAGTGGGAAAAGAACTGCGGTGTGAACGCGGCTATAGTGCAATATATATTCCTCCTTATAATTTCACACTATTCAACTGATCAATAGTTGTCATAACAACAGCAGCAAATGGTTTACAGCTCAAGGATGCAAATAATGTGTTTTGGTGAGAGACACTAAACGTCAACATAATTCTTGTTTACAAGAAAACTCCTCAGGGCCCATTTAAAAAGCGCGTTTTCAGATTGGTCAGTCAAGACTTCATGCACAAAGTCGGACTTGTTAATCAGGCTTTTAGTGAGGGAAATTAAAACAATCTCTTAATACTTTTGTTCCTTAGGAACAATACGACATATCTCTATGACTGATGTATAGCTCCCTAAGGGCACAGATTATGGAGAACATTATTCACCAATAATCTTACTAAAGTCGAACATTAAGACTGAGAATAGAAGCTCATTAAAAAAAATGGAGGAAGTGTGCAGTAACAGTGTTAATACCAAACTACAAAGCTCTGATCTCCAATCCCCCATCGCTCCAACCCTCAGACCTCCGGCACATTCACAAACATGCACTCAGGCACACTCTGAGGACAACGTGTGTGCAGCCCAAGGTAGAGAAATACTCCTCACAGTACACTGGCGCAATTCATTCCCCTTTTAATCCGCTCTGTGTGTTCTGCCTAATGTGGTCTCTGCTCCTTATACATGTCTTAGTCGGACTGAGTAAGTGATGCAAACTATAAAAGACTGGTGTTAAATAGAGGTTTATCACGCCCCCTCATTTTACTTTGCTCAAGGTTTCTTTGCTCTCCAGCATCTGAGGCTATGCAAGACATGTCAACTTGATTATTCCAGGGTTCATTAAGACTATATTGCCTGGTCAATGATACAAGTAAAGCAGAATAAAAGCTTTTCTATCTTTGCATGGAAACAACATTGCCTGGTCAATGACACAAAAAGCAGAAAAGATGTACTGGAAGGATTTGGCAGCCTTTGACCCAAAGGCAGAACAAGAAGATGGCAGGTATTTCTAATTAAATGCAAGCATTTATTTAACAAAGTTGATGAACCCGAATAGTTTAACACAAAAACAGGGAGACCAGGCAAAAGTCAGGAACGCAGGCAGTATCTCGGGGAAAACAGGACAGGAACATAGACGACGAACACTGGGGAAGACAGGCATATATACTTACAAGACTAATCACAGCAGAGACTAGACACAGCTGAAGAGAGCAGGTGAAACACAGGGTCAGCAGGTGAACACAATCAGACAATCACACAGAAACCAAAGAACAGTAAAACAAGACCAGACAAAAGGAAATAATACATTTCACAATAAAACAGGAAACAACATTATACAATGTCATGACACTTGCCATGTCATTTTATAATCACCAACATCTGCACAACAACCTGTATACTATAAAACCAGCCAGTGTGCATCAATACTCCCTGCAACATTTTATGACCCTGTGATTCAGTGCTGATGCTTACTATAAGACATAACATGTTCATACAGTAGATAGAGTTTTACCCTTTGCCATTTGTACAACTACAACCTTGCATCCAGCTTTAATGTTGACTTCATTTGAGTTAAAATCCTAATATTGATCAGTATTTGTTTGTTGATTGTGTTTCATCAGACATTACTCTTGAGTATTTGATCTATTTGTCCTTGTTTGACATGGTTTGAGCTTGTGCATGAATACACAACGTCTTGCATGTTTCTTTAAACCATACTGAATACAAATCTGCAGATGCAAGTCAATGTCCTGGGAGGAGAATCCGCTTGAAACATGTCCCAGAAAAGGCTCAAATTTAAGGTTGTATGTTCCTGCTGTGGTGCCAAGTCAAGTTCCAGTAGCTGGCTCTCAACACCAGTCACTCCTCAATCCCCTCGTAAAAAAACAGGTTCACTCTTCAAGTCTTAACCCCATGACATTTAGTTAAAGAATCATTCAATAATCAATTCACTCAGTAATATATTATGAGCATGTTTTCACCTCCAGCGCCAGAATGTTCCAGAACAGAACATCCTGCTGCATCGTTGTCATCAGGGCTTTACTGGCTCTTCTGGGTATTCTGATCTGTAGCCTAACTTAGTAAACTACACAAAAGTGCTGCTGTATCAGCATGGGATGAAAGGAGAGTTATTACTGCAGCTTCAATTCTTGTGTCCCGAATAGTTAAATCCAAAATCGCACTTACGCAGCACCTTTGTGGTTTTAAATTGTTAAAAAGTCAATTTGTAGAAGGAGGTGTGGGGGGTTTTAGGTTTCAATCTGCAGTTATCTGCCTCAGGGGTTTTGAGTTCCATCACCTTTGAGGCAAACTTAGCCCATCATTGCGAGGACATGCTTTTACGTGCTGATGGGAGCTTAAAGATAGACATGATTATGTATTGGCACACTGCTGAGTTATTGAGTATAGTGCAGTAGCTGTAATATGAGCAAAAGAGGTGGAAAAGTAACCATGTTAACTGTACTGTAACTGTCCTGTTTCACAGATCAGTGACTTAATAAGTAAATAAAGCACTACTGTCAGTTACCCTCACAGTTATATTCTTCACCGTTACGTGAAGATAAAAAATGTATCTCAAACATCCTTTGTCCCTTTGAATTGGCCAGAATGATTTCTGATCAGATTTCTGATCATCTTGAACAACCATTTTTTGAAAGTTGTTTAAAGTAAACCACTTTAAGGAAGAAGTAATTCATATCAATACATTTTTTTTAGGAAGACCCTGTTTGATATGCCAGACTCTTTGATTCTTTATAGGCTCAGCTGTGATGTGTTTGACTGGTCTTGTTATACAGCCTTAATCATTCTGAAGTTATTCATGTTTTCTTGATTTTTCATCCTAGTTAAACCAAGGCAGCCATGAACCTGTTTAAGAAGGATGCCATGACCATAAAGAAGGAGAAGGAAAAAGAGATTGAGTATGAGGACCCTCCAGATGGAGGTTGGGGCTGGATGGTGGTACTGCATTGCTTCCTGGTATGTTCACCTCTGTTATTCATGATACCACATCTCGAACATTTCTTTGCCCAATTTTGACCAGTGCAATCATTCTTTAAAAGACGCTTTCCAAAAGACTGATCGAAATGTTTTTAGACAACGATGTGTTATTTTGTAATCAACATACACCCAACGAGTAATGGCAGTGAAAAACTACATTTTAACAAATTACTTAAAAATACTTCTCAATGTATATTTGTTTGTTTCATATATCATTTTTCATTTTCCTTAGTTTCCATAATGTGTGTTTCACAGAATGAAGCCTGTAAAAAGAACCCTTATCAAGCTTTAAAATATATATAATAAATAAAATATAAAATAAATATAAATACATTTACCTCAGATTAAGTCTCTGCTAGCACTGATCTCATCTCTCCAGTTTTTGTGTGTGTGCAGGTAAATGTCCTCGTAATGGGAACACTGAAGAGTTTTGGGATCTTCTTTGTGGCTTTCCAAGACGAGTTTGGCGGTTCGTCTGAGAGCATCAGCTGGATTGGTTCCATCATGTCCAGTCTGCGTCTGTCTGGAGGTTTGTATCTGAAAAAAGCCCCCCCTACACAGTTTTTTGTTGAGTTTATAGACTGGATATAAAAATAATATCTGTGATGTTTTCCTATGTATTTGTTTCCTTTCTGTACAAGAAGAGAACAAAACGTTTAACATTTGAAGCTACTACTCTCTGCATGTCTCCAGGCAGAAAATGAAAAAGGTATATGATCTTTGTCTTTGTGCTTCCTCTCCTGTATCCTCCGCAGCACCCATTGCCTCTGTGGCCTGTGCCAAGCTAGGAACCAGGGCGACCTCCATCGCCGGGGCGGTGCTGGTTAGTGGAGGCTTCATCCTGAGTATATTCGCCCACAGCGTAGTGTACCTCTACGTCAGCATGGGAATTATAGTTGGTGAGTAGAAGTTTGGGACAAGGCTGAAAGTATCAGGGACTCAAACTTTCTGTTTCTTTAATGACTCTGAAAGCACAATGCTAAACAAAGGTCATCCTTTGCCTGAAATCCAATCTAACCATCTATCTAAATGCTTTTTTCTCTTGTCTGCTCACATTGATGTGTTCGACATACTGTCTGATCAAAGTAATCTTCTTTTGTCCTCCTAGGAATTGGTTTTGCACTACTATACCAAGCCTTCTCAGTGGTCACAGCGATGTACTTCCGAAAGAGGTTAGCGACAGCTTATGCAATTGGGCGTTCTGGGATGGGTTTGACCTTTGCCCTTGCTCCCTTCACTCAGCTGCTCCTGGACAAGTATGCTTGGCAAGGTATGCAGGAATAATCTGTAAATAATTGGTGCACACTGTTTAATGTATGTGAGTATGTGTTCTGGTGTATTTCCTTTTTTGTGTAAGAAGAAATACTAGTACGTGTAACCTTGCAAATATACAAGGTGACATATTGATTTCTGACACCTCTTTGTCCCGAACAGGCGCAATGCTGATTCTTGGCGGTCTCATGCTGAATCTGGTGGCTACTGGGATGCTTCTACGACCACTCAATGTGAAGTCTCCCGTGTCCAACCCTACCTCTTCTCCCATTCAAAAGAGCCCGGCTGTTTCCCTCAAGAGCTCCTCGGAGAAGGAATACACTAAGAACTATTTGAATGGCTCCTCTCACTTATCCAATGGCATCTCCAAAGCAGACTCAACCCCATCCCCTCCTCCTCCCCCTCACAGGGACACTGAGAACCCGGGGGGGCAATGTACTCCAGGGCTCCCGGACCAGTCCGCAAACCCTGAATTGACAAGACTGGTCCTTAATGGTGTAAATGGCCATGAGGCCCACAATGACTTAGGTCAGTGTAAGCCAACAACACCAGACATCTCAGCCGAGGTTAACGGCAGCATGAATGGCTCCACCATTGTTGGACTGACGTCGCATGCCAGCACACAGAGTGAGGTGACGGTCACAAATGCCAAAGTTTTGGATTTCTCCCTGCTGAAGGACCCATTTTTTTGTATCTACACTTGGTCCTTGGTCTTCAGCCAGCTGGCCTACTTCATCCCATACTTCCACCTGTCTGCCCGAGCCAGAACCCTGGGCATCGGTCCCATGGATGCTTCCTTTATCATCTCTGTAGCAGGTGAGGCAAACATTGCACATAATGTTATACTATGTGTTTTAAGATACACCTAGTACCTACTACACTAGTTGCACTAGAAATGTTGATATAAATAAAGCCTATTCCCTTTTTTTGACAAAAGTTAGATGAGAAGATTGATACCATTCAAATCCAGCAAAGTAAATATGTAGCTGCAAACTAAGGACCAGGAACTAGCATTGATGTTATGGTCCCCAATGAACAGATTATGGCATTTGTTATGTTTTGAAACCAAGCAAGTGAGAACATGTCAAGTGTGTTAAAAGTGCAATCCTGAAATATTTCATCCAGTCCAAAGTGGACTATGGCAAAGAAAAGCACAAAAGCTTCAAAACTGTACTGATAAAACAAATGAGAACATATTGTAAATCAAGGCAAATATTATTTGAACCAGCTCATGGTTTGAAATGGCAAACATTGAAAGGCAAACTTATTATTAAAATCATTTACATCATCACCTTGGTCCCATACTCTGGGAAGAGAATATTTACTGTGCTTGAAAACTGGTATCACATCATCATGTGAGGTTGACTTTGTGACCTGGAGAACATTTCAGCCGCAACATTAGCTTGTTGATAGGCTTGGGATATGAGATATTTTTGTAGCCATTCGTGGTGAAGGCATCTGTGCTATTGTATGCATTATTTTTGACCCAACATTTCTACAGGCATGGCAGAATATGGCACGATTTTTACATGGATATTCTAGCCATTGTCTATTTTTATACCACGAGCTGCAAAATGACCGCCTTACCCCACTGTACAGGCGAGTTGGGTACTTGTTTAGATATACCTGGACAGACTTTGTTTTGCCGTGGTCCCCTGGCACCTGTGGGCTGCAGAGTGTCGGCGGTGTTTCGGGCGAGGAAGACTGCTGCTCCGGGGGCGAGTCAGGCGAGTCAGGCGGGATTGCCACGACGCCGGGTAACGTGATGTCCCCATCTGACCTGTTGCTATTGTCTGTAGTAGATGCAGTGTTGCTGGCGTTTAGAGATGGTTATTTTAACCATTTTCGTATACATGATTATCCACAGCACTTTGGAAATGATGCACGCGCAGCGAAGCAGGTCACGCGCACCTGACACAATTTGTTGTTTGTATTTTTCGCTCCGTTCTCTCTTTTGAATAGAGGGTGCATAACATTCAACTGGGGGTGCAATGCATGCTTATCCCCCCCCGTAGAACCGGGCCTGGGTTGTACTTTACCAGCCTGCTGTTGTTTTTAGAATATTTCATAATAGTAAACACTGTCAACATAACAGTCCTGGATTTCATGAGCTGAAGAAGCATTTTGTACTATAAATGATGTCATAAATCAATGCCGACTGATTTAACGGTTACAAAACCTTTGATGTGAGACATTACTTATCCGCGCATGAGAATGCATGCTCTTGCATCATAGGTGCAATCCGGTTATTAACCAAAAAACACTACATCACAGCCTACAGGTAAGAATAAACACCAGCTCCACCCCTCACCTAACTGCCAGCTCAGCAATTTGAATAGTTTAAGATCACAGGAGTGTATTCAAAACGTATTAGTGGAGAATTACATACGGCACGTGTTGGTTGTCACTTTTAAGTTTTGTCACATGTCTCCAACACCTCATTGTTTTAAACTGGTGGTTTTGATCAATGAAACTGTTTCCATGACAAAAGGTAATTTGATCTTCTGTCTTCAGTCTGCATGTGACTGTGTCTGAAATACATCCGCACTGAGGCTCTATATAAATCATCCCACTCCTGATTGAATAGACGGTAGATTGCTGCCTTTTATCTTTCAATGTGGCTTTCAGCAGGAATTTCACTGCCACTGTGAAGAGGGATGTCCAGGTTTCTTGGTTTAAAAGCGATAAAAAGAAAAATCCTCAGTCTCCTTCGAGGCATTAATTATTTGTGAGCTGCTCAGACTCTGCACTCTTATGTAATGAATGTGCTTATATAAAAGCTGAACTTTGGACCAGTGGCCAGGGTGGGTGGGTTCAGCAGTATGCCATCGATGAGGCCACAAAAACATTAACAACAAATTAACATTTTGACCACATTTGCATGTAATTCTGTAAGAGCGCCATGTCAGACTTTGTGAATAATTTAAATGCACCAGATGGGGTTGTGCGTTTATGAGTTACATGCTTCTGTTTTGTATTCTGTGCTTAAGTATTCAGTCATCTGAAGACAGAGACAGTAGGTGAAAGGTGTCTTTATGTCACAACAAAAATGACAGTTAAATTGTAACATCAGTTATCCCTGGAATGGCCTGTGATTGGTGTTTCCTTTGTCAGCATTGATAGCAGCATCAGCTGGACACCAACCCTGTTGGATAAAATGGTGGGAAACTAGTCAATATGAAAAACCTGCAGAAACGCAACTAAAATGAAAACATTTATGGATTCAGACAAAACTAAGATAGGTGCCATAAAACACCACCATATAAGGATTCTCTGAAACTAATGCATGATGGGCTTTTGAACCAATTTCTACAATGTCAGAGTTGTAACCAAAGCAAAAGATATAGATGTCTACATTTTCCCTGATAGTCTGTTCCATAACACTTCTGAGCTTCACGCCAGCGAGCAGTGCCAGCGAGCAGCAAGACTGACAGATTATTTTGGCTCGGACATGTTTGTTCTGTCATATTCTCTGGTCATTTGCACTGAAAGAGAGCCAGAGTTAGAGAGACGGGGTGCTACCCACACCACAAAGCCAGCATCCAAGTGCCCCGCTGTCCCTCTTTTTCCCGACCCAGCGCTTGTCATAGAGGCCCATTGACTCAGCTGAGGGAGGGAGGCCACTATGGTCCGGGGCTCTCTCTTGGTCAACCCTCTGCCACCAACACTCGGCTTGCAGTCGCTAAGCAACTGCAAGCCGAGTGAAGTTGTTGGCGTGGTGACAATGAGAGGCTCCCAATTTTGTTCTAAAGTGGCTGATACTTTGCAGACCGGCACTGAGGCAGCAATACGTGCAAAGAGGAGGCAAAACAAGCCAACTGCCACCTCAGAGAAGCTGGGAAAACCAACATGCCTTTTATAACCCTTTGCTTTATTCTAGTGACAGAATGTCCCTTTTTGAAGCAAAGAAAAATGCACCTCTCCAAGCCTTACAACCCCCTGTGGTCTGTTAATGCCAAGAAGCATGCACATAGTGTACACCTCTATACCTGTTAGCGCTACGGACAGGATTAATAAGGTCGCTGATGCAGTAAGCTTAATGTGCTACTTAGAGAGGCCAAATTTAAACTGCAGTGTACCAGGTTTTTTTTTTCAAGAACAGCTGCAGCCTTGAACTCACCTGCTGAAGCTAAAACACACAAACAAACTCAGAACTTGTCTGTATGCAAGCAGGGGACACCCCAGGACACTGTCTTGGGTCGCTAGAGGAGGACATATAAACACAGCACAGCTGCCTCATGTCATCTTTCTAACCTTGGAGCACAGAAACGCTCGTGGCCTGTTATGTAAGAAAAAGCTAGGGCTCTCACTGACAAGGCATTTAATTGTTTATTCATCTCAACTTCCTTCGAAGACTTGAAGAGCGAAGATAAGACGAAGCTTCTATTATGACATCCATCTTTTGATTAATGTGTAGATTAATTTAACCTTCATTCAGAATGAAACACATCTACATGCATTAGATGCATGTTTGAACTACTGAATTTCCCCACAGGGATTAATAAAGGTCGATCTTATCTTATCTTATTACTCAGCAACATACTTTATGTTAAGTGATCCATCTATTGTCATATTTTTGAAGTTCAAACTGAGTGTCAGTGGCTGCAGGATGTGAAGTTGTGGTGCAGAGGCTGAGCAAAGGATGGGTAACTCTGATCTGCATAGAACCAGTTTGTTTCATTGATCAATGGCTCATTGCTCCTGCTTGTAGCTATTCCTGCGGCGGTCAATACACCACTGCAGTTTCCCCTGCCTATCACGTTCCAGTTGACCTCAGCAGAGAACAGCACATATCTGCCCAGTCATCATACCCGACTGGAGCAAACAATCAATCAGATCTGACGGAATGCATAACGAGTAGTTTGCCTGGGTGTTGCCAGTGTAATACAGATGTTAACAGATAGATATGTTGCCAGCTAACATTCTAATGGACAGCAATAACTGATACTTGAAATAGACATAGCGTTTGTTATTAATGCAAACCTCTGTTTGTTGCAAAGCGTCATTATTCCCTCACATTCTTTCTTTGCCCCACCCTCAGTCTCACACACACACACAGACATACACATTGACCCATATCTTACGGCACAACTCTCCCACACTTTTTTAATTAAGTAATTGCATGATTTTAAAGAAATGCTCACAAGTTCCCTGCATGTAACTTCTGTGGCTGACGTTTGACTTTTTCTGTGTCACTAAGCATCAGCCGAAATGCGCATATTGACCAGTGTAGTCTGCTGTAACTGTGTTTGTTCTTTGTCCCTCAAGGATGACCTGAACACCATCTCAAGGACAAATATATTTACTGTTTTACGTAATCAATGTCATAGTTCAAAACAACATGTCTGCATATGATTTGAGGGGAAATATAGGTGTGAATGGGGATGATTGGAGATGAGCAAGACATGCTTTCAATGACAATGTTCCAATTATAACTGAGGAGGAAATGGATATGTGTGATAAACGTTATGGTAATGCAGATAGTTGAGATGTTTCAGGCCTGACTGAACAATCTACATGGATATTAATACCATTAATAGTGTTTGTTTTACTCTTGCACCCATATCTTAAGAAAGTATCTTGCATTACAGTAGTATATTATACTCCTACCTACACATGTGTGTCTGGACTGGATCTGTTTTCTAAATGTTAAATAGTCTGGTTAAATACGTTAAAAAACAGCAAGGTATACTATACTGCTTACTAAAATAGTTTTTTACGGAAATCTCCTTTTTACTTGTCTTTCATTTTTACCCCTTTTCTCAAACCACTGAGACACAGTTTTACATTGAATGTTACAAGTCTGCCCTGTCCCCCTCCATTGCAGGTATCACAGAGACCATCGCACAGCTGGCCTCCGGCTGGCTGACAGACAGGAACCTGCTCCATAAATACCACTATCACAAGGCCTACCTGATCCTCTGTGGCCTGGTCAATCTGCTCTCCCCACTGGCAACCTCCTACATCCTGCTGATGGTTTACGCTGTCTTCTTTGCCATCTTCTGTGGTGGATACATGGCTCTGCTGCTGCCCGTTCTAGTAAGGAGAACACCCTCTGTGAACATGGCTATGCATTTTTTTTTATCTCAGACAAATGAATCTAGCACAGTAGGGTTTAGATGTTCAACAATGCTCTACTTTACAAGTAACTTTAAATTCACAGTAAAGCTTTTAGATTGGAATTAGTGGACTCATTTGTCGCTTATTGTAAATAAGTAAGAATATGTTGGAAGTTGAGACAGCGCTCAATTGGTACATCTATTAGTATAGTCCTTTGTTCACAAATGGAAAAATTGGAAATGTATCAATTTTTTTCTGTCTTTTATACATAAACATGTAACATAAACATACATACCTCTGTGTGAGAGAGATTCTGAAAGTTTCCGAAAAAAATATTTGCTCACTTTTTGTCCTGGTCCATTTATATAAAGCCCTGTCTGAAAATAAGCTGATCAGATTTTGGCCAGTTTATGATGTCATAAAGATTTTTTGGCTTGTGTAACCATTAGCCAATCACCAACCAAGGTAACACCCCCCCCTTATCACCTGAATCTCCTCCTAGAGCACCATTGTGTTATTTTTAACCAAATATCTAGCAGAGGGGCGTGGGGAGTGGCTCCTTATTTTCATCTAAAGTAACAGACAGAGAATCAGCACTTTTGGAGCAGGGCTGAAACAGAGAGGTTTATGGGATGCTACAATTCATGATCTGTTTGGTATTTCGAGCCAAACACTTCAGAGACGTGCTGTCTATATAACTGAGAACTATAATATTGATGAAAAACAGTATAATAGGGGACCTTTAATGAAAGAAGTTTCTAGTAATGAACAGTTAACAAGATAAAGATAATCAGATTGGCAGCCGGTTGAGACAACTGTTCTTATTAAGGGTCTAAGATACATACCAATAACTCACTTTGCGCTGACTTATTTGAAAGAACCTTCAAACCATCTGCACTTCTCCTCACACCTATGCACCGCTAACCCAGTGACACCAAAATACTAGACTGAGTGGTGCTTTGAGCTACGCAAACATGCAACACTGACAATGCTAAAATACTATTGCTAAGCATGAGTACAAGTACAAGTCCTCTTAATATATTCAAACCAAGCCAGTCAATACTAGGTAATCACTGGTCATAACAATTCAGATATGACCTGGGTCACAACCCGGGAGCAATGCATACCAATAACCTCAGCCGCTGAAAAGGGGCGAGAAGGTCATAGAGAGAAAGCTGGTTAAGCCTTGGGTGGAAAAGGGATATCAGAGTATTTGCGTATTAGGCCTTTGTACCATAAGAACTTTGTTTCATTACATCATTGTGTCACTCACAGAAAGGGAAATGTATCCTTGAAGAAGACCGTTGGATACGTGTCCTAAGTGGTGTCATGGGTAGGACAACATATTAAGTCAGTAGGTAGACAGTTTTGTTGGGTCATATCACACCTGTGAACAAAAGCATGAAGACGTGCAATGTGTTGTGTGATTTCACTTGGCGATTGTGCCATCTCAAAGGGCAGGACATGCCTCCGGACTTATTGTTGAGAAGTGTGATTTTTTTTCTGAATGTGAATGGAGGATTCAGCCAAACCTGTTTTTTCTTTTATCAGATTAACATTTTGTTGTTTAGTTCTAGAGCTGTGCTCATGCACATGTGGGATGAAAATCACCCTGAAGGCTTTTAATAGGAACCCACATGATAAATACAAATAAAAACAGCTGCATGCCTGCCACTCCTAAAACATGCTTCAACCTCAACATGTTTGACTGGACAGGTTAGGGCTTTTGTGATTTTACCTCAAAAAGTCTTTTTTTTCAGTTAAAAGCCAGACTCTATTTAAAGAACAACTTTCGACCTCTAAATAAAATGCACATAAAAGGATCCCCCAACCACCAACACCCAAACACAGGCCTGGAACATGCTGCCACTCTCAAAGTGGTTAAAGGAGCGCTAAGCACAGGGGTCAGAGCTATCATTATGAACATAATTCAATTATTTTTGTAATTCAGCTCAGAGATATATACCAAAGCAAACTAAGGATTAGGCCAATCTATATTAGTGAAAGATTTACATTAGGAGAATAGTAAATAGTACTCTAAACATGTTAAACGCACCAACTTCTCATGATTCTCCCTTCTGAATGTTTTTATAGGGAGTTTAGACTGCATGGCTGCACTAGTTGTCTCTGCACATGTGTTGTTTTTAGGTTAAGCAAAATAGACATCTAGACTCCTAGTTTAAAGTGTGCTTCCCTGGCATTTGTTTTTGTAATGCTTAAATACAGTGCAACTTTTTTGAGGTTATCCATCCTGTCCATCAAAAGCTTGAATGTGTCGTTGTTGTGGTTTGCAGGTAGATCTTGTCGGGGCGGACAAACTCAACAACTCCATGGGCTTCTCCATGTTCTTCGTTGGCCTGGGTTGCCTCACAGGACCTCCTTTGGCAGGTGAGAAAATAACAACATGAGAAACCTTCTGTCAGACATGTGCTTACCCACTTTCAGACATGCACACAATAACAAACGTACATATGCACTGCACATCTATTGGATTGTAACCATGATGTCATTGTTTAGAATGAGTGATCAGTGTAAGGGTTGATAAGCTTTTTATTATGAACGGATATCATTTTTAGGGAGTAGTTGTGTCACATATTTTCATGGGGTGTAGGCAGTCACTATGGACTGTGAAAACTCAAACGCAGGAGAAAAAACACCGATAGTTGGTGCAGCCATCAATGCAGACGGGGACTTTGGCGTTGCTTTGACAGAAATGCCTACAGAGGTTATCGGGTCAAATTTCATCTTGCCTAGGAGCGAGTCAGAGAAGTAGAATAACAGCGTTGTGTCCATGGCTGGGTTTGAGTCACTTTGTTTAAGTGATGGCAGACTGCGCTTGTTAGTGTAAGAGAGCTGTTTCTAATCTGGAATCAGTTTGTTGTTACACCATCGTTGTGGCAGATTCCTTTCAACAAACTACGCTTTTTCTAAGTCAGAAAAAAAACAGATGCCAATCATGTCTGTAACACATGAACTGGTGTGTGTGTGTGTATATAGAGCGCTCATTCTTGCAGAGGACTTGTACAGCATCTTTCATCATGATAATCTCTTATTTTCCCTTTTCTGAGAATATGTTAGGTATTTGTCATTTAAAAAAATGTCTTTGTGCCCTTGGGTATTGTTTGGCCCCAGTTAAACCGTGGGGTTCCATTGAACCTATTGACATGGCCCCTTCTCAGTGTGCTAGGCAATCCCCTAAGAGAAGCTTATGGATTTCGGGGTTGAAATGTGACTTATGACCCCTTTTAGCGTGGTACGGAAATAGCATGTGGCTCTGTTTGTCATCCCTGTGGTTCGTAAAGTAACAGCAGGCAAACTGTGGTCCCTCCTCTAGGCCACAGGTTGTGATAACATTGCTTTTGTTACAACCAGCTCTTCAGGATTTCTAATAGTCTGTCAACCATAAACCATACCTTCCTTTTATTTTGGTGTCACTTTTCTGAAGTGAAATGTCCAAGACGACAAAAGACACAGGAACACAGAAAGCTTTGCGTCACCTGCAGTATACTTTAAACTGAAGTCCCGCATGCTATCAATGTGAGCCCTGCCCATTCTGTAATGTAAACATGTGAAGTTTAAAAGTTTGGGTCAAATTCAAAAGAAGGTTGACTTAAATAAAAAATGTAATAGCCATTAATGTAAATATACAACCTGGAATAAATTGCTCTTAAAAAAATATAGTATTTGGTTGTTATGTATGGAAAAGCTCAGTGTAATAATCAATATATTGTCATTGTCATTTTAAAGACATTCCTGTTTAGGCAGTCGTTTTTAGCAAGTCTTTACTCGTATGATAAAGCTTTGTCAAGCACTTTGTGACTATGTCTGTGAAAAGCGCTTCATAAATAAATGTTACTTACTTACTTATATCACCAGACTGTTAAACGTCCTGCATGTGTCTTGCAGGCTTCCTGTACGACTACACTCAGACTTACGACTGTTCTTTCTACCTGGCCGGGCTCTGCTATCTGCTCTCCTCCGTCTCGCTGTTCCTGGAGCCTCTGGCTCATCGCTGGAAGGACAGAAAAGAAGTGACCCAGACCACGAGAGCGGAAAGCAGCTGTAAGACCAACGGCTGCTTCACCCCCGACCGCCTGCAGAACGGCGCTGTGTAGGAATTAACCCAGAGAGGCCTGCGATCTTGAACCAGCATGCTCATAACTTTCCATGGGCTCGCATACCTTCGACTTTGGTCTCCAGCTTAAAGTCGGGACCCAAATGACCCTTATTTCAGCAGCGGTGTAACGGGCTGAGAAGACCACATTACCACGCCTGAGAACATGCAATAGTCAGGATGATGAACTTTCTAAAAAGCCAAAATGTTAGTGTTTTTTGCAATATATTGTAGCCCTTATTCATGTTCTTAGTAGAGGTATATGCATCCAAACTAAAGATAATCCCATATATATATATATATATTATCCAGCACAACTAATTATTAGTTACTTTGCAACAATTAATTCTTCAAACACAACATATCTGTTTTCCAATGCAAAAAGAAAACTCCAGTCACTTTACAGTATCTTTGCATTACACGGTATATTGCTGGAAACTAAGCTGTGCAGTTGAGCTTGAAATCATGTTATCCACAATCCTCCTCTAATGTCTGTGATGGCATTAATTGAAGCACACATCCATGAACAAATACTCATTTATTTTTCTATAAACCTGTACTCACTGGTTAAATGTGCATTCTGCAATTCTGGAGAAAGGTGGTTGATATTTGAAGTCAACACCCAAACAACCCCCCCTCTCACTTTATACACCCACGTTCTTACCCTGTCCGAGCATGTTGCTGATTAGCAGTGTTCTATGGCCATAGATTTTTTTTCTAATTTACATGTTTTCATCAAACATGACAGCTAGTCTGCCTTGAGCAGATATTTGCTGAATTTGACAATTTGTATGAGAATCGCTGACTGCAAGATATTTGGCAACAACTAAATTGCAGGCTACTTTTTTGACACAAAATATAACCTGCTCTTCAAAGCCAAAAAGGAGCAACTGCTTCAGTAGTTTAATATCTTGCCCCAACAAGTGTATTTTAAGCACAGGGGTAGAGTGTATGGCATCTGCTACTATTTAGAGGTATAATTATCTTCTTGTATTTATGTCTTTATTAATATTATAGACACTTCTCTCGTCTTGCAATTACTGCAGCATGTTGGGCAAACTATTCAAACTTCAAAACCTCTTCAACTGACACCTCACAGTAACCCATTTGTAATTCACCTGACATTATTCTTGTCATTGCTTACATACTATCTGCCACTGAAGGGTTTTAAAGGTCACTCACTTTCATTTTTCACACATGACAGTTCAACCGCTTCACTTTCACCTCAGCTGCCTTCATCTTATATCCCTAAGCTGACAGTTTAACCACTTTAATCACATTAAATAAATGGCTGCCAATAGGGAACAAAATGGGAAATGTTAAATGCTTTCAGCCCCAACACAGATTTCAGCTTCATATCTAAAACTTACACTGATTTCACCTCTGCTCCTTCGAATGCTTACACTTTAGATGACAGTTCAACCCCTTCGATCACTTTTGAATCTGTTTACAGTTTGTACTTTTTTTATTATCTCAACCTCAGTAACATTTTTAAATAATTCTAAACACTACAAACCAGCCTGTGCCTCTCTCCTTTTGTAATGATTTATTTCAATGGTTTTTCTAATACATTGACACTTCACATCATGCTTTACCTCCATACTACAAAACGGTCACGTCTAGCTCATCTTTTGTGAGTCGTTCTATGCAAGTGCACACAGAGAGATTTCTTTCATTGATGGCTCACTTGCACGTAATTTTAACTGTAGCAAATACACAAATTCCTGTTAGAAAAGGTGTGTTGCCTCGAGATTTAGGAATGCTTCCTAAATATGTTGATCACAGTTGTGTTGCTGTGTAGCAGGGTTTCTGTGTCATTGTGTGAGATTAAGTCTCATTTTGTAGGTCTGTGAATCACTGAAAGACTGTTTCAAAGACATTTCTCCCATATTGCCCATATGTACTGGACTGGTTTTAAACTGTTGCCCAGCCTTTACAGTGCCTGCAGGCTGCCAATTGATGGCAATTCAATGTATAATTATATTGTGTTTACATGTGGTAGTCCGTTGGTTGTTTGATTTTTTTTTTGTGAAGGTTTATCTGTGTTTTCAATATACTGTTTTTTTACCACTGTTTGCCTTACAAGGTACTGTATTGTATCTTTACTAACCTTCCTGTGATGTCAGCCAAAGACACATTAGAGACCTACCTACAACTTGAAACGTATAAGTACAAATGGATTGTACTGTTGAAATGTATAGACCACAGTGACTAATTCATTTCTTTGAAGTCTTTACTGAGGGCCCAGCAACCAGTGATAGAGATGTGTTTTGTAACGCTGCCCTCTCGTGGCGGAGGAAGACCTTTACTCAAAGAATGCTGCCTCAATTAGTAAATTAGTACCACATTATTCCCCCTCATCTCACTTTCACAATACTGAGCCAGGCTCTTTGTATTGTTTCAATAACGACAGTCATGCACAAAAGCTCTTTTGGCTCACGAGTTGCATTCACCATCCGTACGCATTTGTGAATGAGGGCACCTGAATATTCGTACAAGTAAATCTTTTATGAAATGTTTTGGAAGAATGTAAAATAAGATATTGATTTGGAAGTATTATACTTGCTTCAGGATATTTTAAGAGTTAATGTGTTGGTCCCCTTTGGTAATGTCTGAAACTCCACTGATAATGAGCTCAGTTTGGATTGATGGTGTTTTTGTTGCAGCAAATGCATTTATGGGAAATGATTGTTTTGTCACTACTCTGGCTCCCGGGTTTGTAAACTGATATTTTAGAAAATATGCTTAATCAATCATAGATATCCTGTTCCAAGTCCTTAGAATTCATTTAGTAACAGAGCACAGTCAGCTGTAATAAACTGACATGTTACTCAAGTCTGTTATTGTGTGATTCAGATAATAAATGAACTGATGCCACACTCACTTTTATCTATCTGGTATGAAAAGAAAAGCACTCAACACATGGCAAATATATTCAACATGTTTTATTAACACTTTGAACATACAGAAGTGAACAAATACAATTATTCATCTAAATGATAACATTCACTTTAATCTTGGGCTTAAAGTAGACCCAACACATGCTTGTAATTATTTGTCAAATGTGTGTTAATGTAGTGTTGATCAAAGCAAACACTTACAGTAGATGACACCTGTTGATGTGTTTATCGGCAGCCAGACGCAAGCGTCCGGTCCAGTGGATCGCTGTTTGGGAAACATACAAACATACTTTAGTCTCGTCAGCAGTTTACAGTGTAATTGATTTGGAAATGCTTGTAAATGCAAGTTTAGTGACTTGTTTTAGAAATGTCCTGGCTAATCAACCACATATCAATGTAAGTGTTTTTTATACTGCAAAAACTGCACTGCAGTCAGCGAGGATAGAATAAATCAAATGTGAAATGTAGATATGACATATGTGGCTTTTACAGATTACTGTTTGTCTAGAAGTAAAACAATAATACATGAACAAAAAATATGACCTTAAAATGTAATGATAAACAAAGTTATAATTTAGAAACTTAAAGGATTATAGATAACACATTTGATCTGGAATTATGCTAAAACTTTGGCCGGACTCGACATACCTCATTTTGTTCATTTCTCCAGGTGTAGGTCAAGTGATTTCAAGTAGCCTTCAAACATTTGTGAAATCTTTAAAATATTTGGTTTATGAAGGTATAATATGCCTGAGTATGTAATACAAAACTTAATATCTCAAAAACCTACAGAAAACCAGGCATTGTACAGCTGTACATATGAATGAGTGATGCATGTTTCATACGTTCTGTTTACTCTTCGTATCATTTTACATTGTGGCGGCAGGATAATTATCAAGTAGCTGCTCATACAGCTTCAATATATAGGGAGCAGATTATAAAACATACAGGTATCAGTGAGTGCCAGATGCCACAGTAAGTCAGGTATAAGCCACATATTGATGATGTTTTCATAAGCTACATTAGCAGAGCTAATTGGTGTCACGTGATAGATTTATAAGGTCTAGGAATGTTAAATCTTATATTCATATTCTTAAATTGTATTTACTGGATGTTTTCATTTGTCGTACGCAGTCATTATCATCTTCTAATGCAGTTTCGCGCCAAAATCTGTTTTCTTATGTCATTATATTACATTTAAATTATATTTACTCACTGATATTAATACTTTAGCCAACAATAATAATTTATAATTCATTTACTGACATGTAAACCCTATATACAGTCAAGCTTTGTTTTGTCCTGCTGAAACAGTGAGGTCTTAATAACTGAGCCTACACTGGTTTGTCACAGACCACATCATATTAACCACATTAGATCATTTCAACCTGTCCCGATTCTGGCTATTGACAATGAATGACATGATGAATCTATAAGTGAATGATAGCTATCCCCATTAGGTTTTACATCTGGCTGCAAAGGTCACTGAATTTGCAGGGATTTGTTTATCATCATCTGAATCTGAATCAGAATCGGCAGGATGTTCAACAACTGCAGTAGATTAACTGTAAAATATCAACCTTTTACATAAATGTTGCACTGAATGGGAATACAATACTTTGTTTAAGTATACTATACCTTAAGGTATTAAAATATACACTATTTAGGACATTTTATCATTTTGTTTTGCTGTTTCTCCAGTTGCTGACAGAAGCAGCAGTATGTGCAGTGCGTTGCTGTGGGCAGTAAATGGTCCTGCTGTCTTACACAATTACCATCAGTGGGCATTAAATCTGTTATTACTTTGGCTGAAAAACTAGTGAGCCATTATGCATTTTTTACTGGAAAACATGTGGTGCTGACACTTGATACTTACCTCTGCTGCCTCAGCCATCGATACAGAGCTGGCAGGCAGCACCTTTTCTCCCTACTCACCCTCATGTCGTTTCTAGACAGCAGTCGCAGAGTGATACCAGCTCTGTCCTGGGTGTCTGCTGTGCTCAGTGTGTTTAGTCAGGTAGACTGAGGAAGGGGAGCAGGAGCTTCATGGTCCTCAAGAGGGCAATGTTTCTCTAGTGAAGAAAGGTGTCCACAGCACAGCACAGGGCACAGCATTTCTTTTCACAGTGCTATAACTAAAATGGATGGTAGGAGGAAATGAAGAACTTTCATTCCTGTGTAATGTGGCCTTAAAATTAAAAACAGGTCTCCTAGAAGAATTTGGGGTGGGGGTCAGGGGGGTCCGCCCATGTGGATTCCTTTCATGAGTGTCAAAAAGGGTACACATTTTGGCCTGCTAGTTTTCATTTCCATGCTGCAGCAGACCTCGGCAGACGATGGAGTGAACACACTTCTTCACTCGTCTCCTCGGAGAGGGTTCAATCAGAGGAGAACACAAACAATATTCCTAGCTGGGCCAATCCACTGCCCTGAGCCGAAAATTAAGTCAAATCAAATCATAACTGGGCAAAGTATAATAAAGACAAATGAGCCCAGTGGTTCAGCTTGGCCTCTGCAGGGTGACAGCTTGCTATGAACATTTCAGAGCAGTGTCACCCACAATCTCCCATGTGGAGTGTGTGACGGCCGGTGATGGGAATTCCTCCGCTCCTATTCAGAACCCGGAACAATGCAAATGAACAGCTTTAGAGTAAAACAACAGGATACTGCACGGGCTGCTGTTTGCTCCCGCCCGCGACTCCCGAACTTCATCATTGGTTCACACTGAAAGCTGGCTGCTCACAAGAGGCAACGGGGGCTCCTCCATCCTGATCAGGTGTTCACATGCCAACCGGAAACGTTGAGGTTATAACAGGGGGTCATGAGGGAGTAATTTAAGACTCACGAGCTCAGAACAGGCCTGTAAGCAAACAGCGATCCTCACACGAAACGGGGTCTCTCTTCACCGGTGCTAAACAAACTGCAAACTGTCTCCCTTTTTCGTGTGCAGAAACCAAATTTGAGTGACAACTCCTTCGAAACACAATAAGGCAGTGCAGCGTTTTTCTTCAATTCACTTCCATCGAAGAAACATGTTTCCCTTCAAATGAACAATTTATTGATAATCGGTCACATTAAGTGCCCAAACGCACTTGCAGGTATGTGCACAGCTTCGCATGGGCTCTACGGATTTTCCTTTCCCATGACATCAAAGTGTACATTGCTCAATTTTCCATTTTAAAACAGAAGTCATCACAGGTGCAGATGGGATACACAACTTTAAAGTAGCCTCTTTAGTGAGGACTCAAACATCTCTGCAGAGGTTTCAGCTCTGCACTCGTCTCCACATAGAGTCCAATGTTGAAGTGGGTGTGTTGTTCACACACACAACCATTTTCTGACATATTAATGTTTTCAATACATATTAAACCAAACTCAGCAAATCATAATTCAGGGTGGGTTACTATTGCATGACGAACATACAATGGCAAAACTAAATACGGTAAGTAGGCCTTGGGAACATGTTGGCAGGCATGAGTAAGATATAGTCCAATTTATACCTCTAAAATCAAAAATTCAAACACGGACTGTTAAATAATTTCTAAAACTTTGATTTACACAGACCTACTTACTGAACAAATAGCAAATTCCTGTAACTTTGTACCAACATATTACTGATACTGAATATTATTATCAGAGGACCTACTTGTTTCAGAGCAATAAATGAAACAACACAAAATTCTACGCTTTTTTTTATCCATTACTACTGTAGTTTTTTATAGATCACATTACACAACCATTTCTAAGGTAGGGATGCACAAAGTAAAATATGAAGTTAAAATATGAAAACATGTTAGTATCTGCTTTACTATTCTATGAGTGTTGTGTTATGGGCTGTTCCCTGGGCGAATAACTCTGTTAGTATTCAGCATTTTACATAGAGTTGATGTAACAATTTGGATTTACCAGTGAACACACACCGAATTCATTATCTATCTTGCAATTTGGCATTCCAATATTGAGGAACACATGAATAAAAGATACTCTCCAATTAAAACCATGAACCTGAAAGGGATTTGTAACTTTTAAACATAATTTGCAACCAAGGTAATGTGTGAGCTTTCACTATTGACACTTTAACCTTCAAAACACATCACAACTCTTCTTCAGTGCACCACACTCCATTCATCAAATGTCGTAAGCTATTTTGTTATATGTAAGGCCTGATGAAGGCGAGATATCTAGAAACCTGGAGCTGAAGGAGAAAAAGGTGACCAGGACTCTCATCCCCATTGGCTTTGCAGTACCAACTCAACTACTACACCTTCAATGAAAACCTCCAAAAATGTCTCATTTTTGTTTCCATTAATTAAAAAAGTGAATATAGTAGAAATATTATTGCACTAAGATTTAAAAAATGTTTTTTTTTAATCCTCCTAATTTAAACGTCTGTTTTGGATGTAGACACAATAACAACCGTACAATCTAAGGGACAGCAGAATGATAGCCCAGACACCAACATGACTTTTGTTAAGCTTGTTATTTCCAGCTTTTGGTAACACAGTGAAAGGGGCACTATAGTAGCTTTGGAGGCTATTGTTTTTGGTTTAACTGTAGTAGAGGTGTTATTGTGTCCACTCAATGCATTTTGTAAATTCTATTTGTTTTCTTGTAGAAGAGTTGGCTAAGCTAAAATGTTCAACAGGTAAATCAACCAAAAAAGAGTTTAATGGTGTACTATTTTTTAAATGAAATTGAAATGTATTTCATGAATGCTCCTCATATTTTCCTGTATTTTGACTGAAATACTGCAGGTTTATGACTTTGTAAGCAATTCATACAACCTTTAAAAATAATTTCCAAAACACACATCCTTTTAGTTTTGTAGGAGGGCACCATTTGTCCTTTGAGTGGATTACATGGCAACATACAAACACTAAGGAACCATACTAGTGTACCCTATAATGCAGAACACACAGCATGCAATAGTTACTGACATACAGCCGATTCCTTTTTTTTTAAAACTCCACTTGAACTTCGAGAGTTCTGATTTTTTTTTTTTTTAAGATGCTCCACGAACCACAATCATGACCAGATAGTCCTCTTCGCTTTTAGCCAGAGCTTTGGCAGAGGAATCCAGGAACTGTTGGGAGAAATCACAGGGAGGGAAAGCATGAAGAACCCCCGTGTTGTCTTTATCCCGGCTCCCTCCCACAGGCAGGCTGATGACTCCGGCTGCTTGTTTTTGGTTGAGGTAGGACACCAGGTTGCGGAGCGGTCGCTGAGTTGATGCTGCAGGGTCTGTTGAAGATAAATCCTCTGTGGTGCCAGGAACTGCCAGCAGGATGGCGTAGCCGCCGGGACCCGCCACCTTGATGCGCCGGGACACCTCGTCGAGCTTGGGCTGGTCTAGACGGAGACGCTGGGTGATCTTTAGCTCGCCCACCTGCCTTCCTGATGTGCCCTCGGCAAGCAGGTCGCTGGCCACGTTGTGATCGCCCTCCAGCAGGTGCATATTGGCTGGAAAGTTGCTGTTCTTGAGCAGAAGCATGCCATGCCAGGCCAAACTGAGTTTGCTGCCATCTGGTTTGGATGCCTGGCCCCCCTTGGAACTGCTCTCAGGACGTTCCCTCTTGGCCGGCCCCTTACCACCTTCCCCTGCTTTGCGCTTACGATCTCCGACTGCTGAAACGCCGCTGCCTGAAGGTCCCTTGTCAGAGAGACTCTGGCTTTTGAGTCTCCGCTCAGCCCCGCCTCTTTCAAGGCTGCTGTGGCACTCTCTTGCGGGGGAGGGTCTCTCTCCCCGGAGAGGCCGCTCTGGGTCACTGAAGCGCCCTCCGTCTCTGCTGATACCTTCAGGACTGCCATCTGGAGAAGTACGTCTACGCCTTAGAGTTCTGTCAGTGCTGTCAGGGGAGGGGTCTATGTGGCGTCCATCCTCCATTGCACGGCGCTTGCGTGGAGGTTCACGTCCCTGCAACTCTCGCTCCAGAGACCAGGGCTCTCGTGCCCGTCGCTCACGTTCCAAATGCTCCAGAGGTTCAAAGGGTGACGCTCGAACCCGATCTCGGATGGCTGGGTTGGGCCACTCAGCTCCAGGAAAGAGATCTCTCTCCCTGAAGTGGAGCGGAGGTGGAGTCCGTTCCCTGACTCTCAGGGGTTCAGTTGTGGCTCGGTGGACAAAAGACTCTGCCACCATGTCAAATGGTGGTATAGGGAGAGGCTGCAGGAACTGCTGCTGGTACCGATGCTCAGTGTCAGCAAAGTCCACTCTAAGTCTTCTCTCTGGACCCCCCAGTGGGAAGCCCCTCATGTGTGTGCATGCCGCCTGTGCAGCGTCCAGACTTTCATACTGAATGTAGGCCCAAGTGTCCCCCTTTCTGAAGTCAATGGTCCTTATAGTGCCAAAGCGGTCAAACTCTCTTGCCAGGGCAGCAACAGGAACCCACGGCCCAAGTCCCCCAACCCACAGGCGTGTGGTGGGAGTTGCTTTCCCATAGCCTATCTTTATGGGGTTGTGGCCCACTATTTTGCCAGACATGCTTAATTTAGCACGATGAGCCATGTCCAGATTCTCAAATTTCAAAAATCCATATGTGCTAGTTTGTCCCCGTGTGGGTCTTTTAATGTCCACTTCCGTTATGATCCCAAACCTGTCAAAAGCTCTCCTCAGGTCTGCTTCAGTCACAGTTGTGTCCAGATTGCCTAAAAACAACGTCCTATTGGCTCTTTGGTCATCTTCTGGAGATATAAAATCCTCTTCTCGAAAGGCTGCTCGCTCTGCAATGAAAGCTGGTCGTGCCCTGGCTTCAAACAGGGCAAACTCCCGGTCCCGCTCCAGCTCTCTGGGCAGAGGGGGAGGCGGGGGAGGGGGCAGCCGGCCAAGGGCCAGCTGCTGCAGCCGGTAGTCTCTGTATCCCAGCCCGGTGGGCGAGAGGGGTCTCTGCAAATGTCTGTGGCTGGGAGCTGCACCATACAAGTCTCTCTCCACAGGGGAGCGGCTTCTCCTCCGGTTGATGTACACTGCCTCGATTTTCAGCGGCCGGTCATACAGCACCAGCCGACCCCGCGCGTGCTTTGCAGCTCGTGCGTCCTCCGGCTTCCTAAAATTCACAAACGCGATCCGCTCGTCGTTGCTGCGGCTTATCTTGACGCTCACATCTCCAAATTTCTTGAATTCGTGAAATAGTCCATCTTCTATGTCCTCGTCGTTCAACTGGGTACCCAGGTCGCTTATTTTGAGGGTTTTGTACTCACTCTCTGCGCCGGGCGGCTGCACCCGCTGCTCCCCCCGAGAAGTGGTCCTCGCTGGGGCTAAATCCAGCGTTAGGCTCAGGCTGTGGTTTTTACCCACGGAGCTGGCGACTGCAGACTGACAGCCATGATTATTTCCAGTCCGACTGTGCCCATCGAAATCTCTGTCTCTTTTTTCACCCAGTAGACTCCTTCTCGTCGAGCTGCCGTCGTTCTTCGTCGAGCTATTCCCATTATTACTCCCGGTGGACACGGAGAGAGCCCCCATTTTCTTGCTGGTCGGGTGGCATCCTCCCCGGTCTCGTATATCGTCCAGGGCCCGAGAGCGCTTTTTAATCGGCGATCGCTCTTTACCTTTCATTTCAGTCCAAACGGAGCCAACCCCTCGGGACGCCTGGGCTTTTTACTGTTGTTTCTGCTAATAAATGCAGAGAATGATTGAAATGAAAAACGGATTTATTCACTGACCCTGCGGCAAAACAACAACAGTCGCCATTTTGTAAAGATTACTCTGGAGGCCCGCCCATTCTTCCTGATTGGTTGAGAAAGTGGGTGGAAAACTTCGGAGCATCTGTCAATCAAACACTGAGCCATCTGTAAAATAGTATTCATGTGTGATTCACTTCTTTATGAAGAAGTGAACTGCGGTGGGAAAACAATGTACATACATTCCACAAAAAGCACCAGCATCTTCTGTGTCCTGTAATCAGGCACCTCTTTTGATTTATAATCTCCATAGAATATAGGCATACTGAATATATCTCACAATACGCTAATAAACCCTTTACAAGGTATCATTTAGAGATGTATTATTAATTGAGTGTCTATTTGAATGTGTCATTTTGTATGTTTTCTTTTTTGCTCTATTGTGTCCATTCCCGGTCAAATTAAGTACGCTCACTAAATATCTAAAATGTCAACATTCTCCGATAGTAAAATGTGTAGTTTTTGGTTTATTAGTGTGATTTATTTGAGAAAAGAGACATTGTAAATACATATATTATATATACCCATGGTATTTAAAAAAAGAAAAGGAAAAAAAAAGCATTTTACTCAAGTCGACCTAATAAACTACCACAGGAGGGCAGTATTTGAACAGCAGCTAGAAAGGTACTGCAGCACTTAAATCCTTAAAAATGACCTTGGGTGGATAGGCATTTCTCGGTAGGTGTGTGGATAAAGCAAGCTCCCGATCAAAACGTTATTGTGCATTTGTCTAAATGTATAACGTTTCCAAGCTCCAATCATAATTGTGTGGTTTTTGTAAAAAAAATAAAAATGTATTTTACAGCAAAGTTGGTAATAATTCGCCTATAAGGGTTGTAGGTTAAATATATATATGGACTTTAAGGACTTTAATAGGTTACTTTTTAAAGAGGTTGAAAGCAGATTAAAAGTGACTTCTATTTTGGTTATTTACCTCCCAATAACAAGTTCAACTTTTGCTTGAAACATGCTAAAATAATACTTTATTAAACACTCTAAAACGTTTTAATTTAAAAAAGTCTACTCAGACTGGCACTGTGTCTTTTCCTGTAGATGATAAACTGCTAAATTAACTTAAATAATTAAATGTCTGAAAGCAGCCAGACAACTACTCCACTGTGTGAATGTGTTAACACATTGTTTAGCTTAATGCTGTTTGACTACTTCATGAGGATCTGATGTGTCCCAATAGCTGCACTTCAAAGCCAAGATAAATCTGTTGGAGATCAAAGCTCAGAACAGTGGCTAGCAGGCAGCTGTGCAGATTTTAATGAGCGTTAAATCGTATTTTATTCGTCCATTAATGAGACTGAGGGTATAGTCATTTCCACACTCTAGTGACAGTCTTCACCTGATGACCCTTACACACAGAGTGATACTTAGTTAATAACTTCTCCCAGCATTGTGCACTCTTAACTCAACATTTTTCATTTCATTTTTGACAAATCATACAAGGCCTCTGCAGCATGATGTATTGAGTTGATACAGATCAAAGCTTGTGCCACATCAATGTTACTTAAATGACAATGTAATCAAAACTGTTGGAAGATGAGGTAATTCGTTTTGATCCTCTTTTTAAGAAGAATAAACCATACTGCATTTATTTTATTGTCAAATATATCACATTTGTGCTGGCAGAGTTGCATCTAATTCACAAAGCCACCGAGTTTCCCCTTTTGTTCATCGACAGATCATTTGGTTAACCTACTCCTTATCGAAAAATAAATATTAAAATTGAGCACTGATACACCATCTGCTATTTCTTCAGCTTTCCTAAAGATGGCCATCTCCTCAATCCCTTATCCCTACTGACAGGTCTCCTTATCTCCTCCACTTAATCTGGGATTTCATCAGGGGGACTGTAACTTCAGTGAGGGCTGCCGTCTCCCAGGGCCTGGCTGGAATTTGAAGCTGTGGGTGTGGAAAGTGTTTCTGATGGGTTTCTGCTTTCTTCTATTGGAACCACATGTTAGTGGCTCACACAAAACCCTGACACAGACTAGAGGAACGGAGAGCGAGTATCACCTCTGGGGAGTTAGCAGGATTTCGATTTGCTTTGTTCAATGGTGACAAGTTACATTCTCAATCCCTCACAGATTGAAATAATTGTGTATCTATAAAACATGTTGGTATTTAAAAATGTACACCAGATGGTATGGTACAATGCAATTCAGTGTTTCTTCTCAACAATAAAGTTAATTGTTTTGGGGTAAAGCACAGCTTGCATTTCCTGAAATCTTTATGAATGCATTTAGTATGAATACACGATTATGTATGCCACAGAAACTTATTGATGTCTTATTCTTCCCATGGAGACAACAGTATTTAAAAAATAAAAGCAGAAGATCTTTAGTGGATATTACAACCAAAACATGGTAATCCCATTTTCTTCTGTTCATGATTACTCAGTTGGTCGTGTTTGACTACTGATGGCAGATGTAAATCCTTCTTTCGGTGGGAGGCTCTTTACTTTATCATCAGTATAGGAGTGCGGCCACTCAGTTTGCGTTTCATAAATGAGCCTGCCACACGCTGCTGATACATAAGGTGCTACCTGAAGGATTCTTGAAGTGAGGCCCATGCTGCAAACCTTGAGTATTTTTGTGTATTTCCCAAGTAAGAAGAAGCTCACTTTCTGCACAGCAGAAGTCTTTGTGTTTATGGCAACCACAGCCTGCGAAGAATTTTTGACTCACAACCACATTCCTAGTTTAATATGAGTCACAATTTAGTTTCGCCTTTTAAATATCATAAAATAATTAAAGCTGAGATTGTTTTTGTTCCGTTTTCTTAACGTATTTTCCCAAAATTAGACAGAAGATTTAGATGGAGGCCTTTATTAAGGATCACATTATAAAGCACAACAGTCAAACGAAAAAACAATGATTAATACGATAATTACAATTTTTACATGCTTAAATAATATTTCCTCTTTGGTTACAGCATTGGGATATTAACCTAAACCTTGGAACAATACAGTTTCTATACAATAGGGTTTCGTGCTAAAGGCTCAAGTGGCCCCTAATGTTTATGAAATTCATATTTCTTAAGACCTTCATAATGATGGAGAGCCTCCAAGATGGTTTATATAACTGTTTAGAGGAATTATTTGAGACATATGCTGAGGGGAGTATGTACATTGAGGGATGTGTATGGGTCAAGGATGTAATATGCGTTGGCTCAGTCAGTGCATAATGTGGAGCTGGCTCTGTTGTGGTCATGTAGGCCAGGAGAGGATGCTGCCTGGCTCTTTGGCTTTCATTCGCAGCGCCACAAGGCCCGTCGGCTTGTAGTCGCTCTCCGGCCCCTCCATGGAATGGGGCCCAAGGCCTCCTGGGAAGCTGTGGAGTGAATACAGGCCGTTGATGCCCGGATGGTGAGACGGGTGGTGGTGGTGGTGGTGATGGTGGGGATGGCTCTGGGATGGGGGCATACCCATGAAGCCCTGCAGGTTGCTGTGGGGGTGGGGGTGAGGGTATGGACTCATACAGGACGAGGGGAGGGAGTCCGCTCCTAAGACACAGCCAGCACCTGGAGCACCGCCCCCCCCGGATGCCGTCCCGGGCCACAGGTTGCCCTGCATCTGCACGTCAGGAGATTTAGGATAAGACACATATAGAATTTGAATGGTATCGACATGGAACATTTAATACTTAATGCTAATAACCCCAAATCAAGATACAATTATGTGCAAATGTTGGAAAGAGATTGAAAAAGAAAACTTTCCGAGCAGGCTAACATTTTTACGAATGCTTCCACTACAACATGCATGTCATGCGAGATCAGCAGTGGTCTACCTGGTATGTATCATGGCGAGGGAGAAGAGAGATATCATATGTAGCAGCAAAGTGGTTGCGGACATCCTGGATCTTCCCATAGCGTTCCCGTTTCCTCCACTTGGCTCTACGATTCTGGAACCAAACCTTTCGATAGAAATTAAAGAACAACACGAACATTTCAGAAACAGTTGTTCTTGAAACGAATGATTATCTTTCTTTTTGATTATTAAATATATGTTTGGTTTTTACATTTTCAGAAAATATTGAAAAATGTTCATCCCGTTTTCTCAAAAACCAAGATTATGTCTTCCTTTTTTTTTTGTCTGTTCAACACCCAAAGATATTCAAATTAAACTGATGTATAAACTCTTTTCTGCTTATAGGTATAAAAGGAAGCTGTAACATCGGAGCTCGTTGTTCTCACACACCTGAACCCGAGCCTCAGTGAGCTCGGTCCTCAGGGCCAGCTGCTCGCGGGCGTACACGTCAGGGTAATGCGTCTTCTGAAACACTTTCTCCAGCTCCTCCAGCTGGAAGGTGCTGAAGGTGGTGCGGTTGCGCCGCTTCTTGTTCTTGCCCGATAAGTCGATGGAGTCGGCGATAGATACCCCATGTAGACCCTCGCCGGGCTCTTTCAGCTTCCCACAACATTCTAGGCCAAGGCCAGGGTAGCCCATCGTCTTTGGAGCTCCTTTCTCTCTGGCTGCGACATGGATGGGACACAGAAAAAGGTAGACAATGTAATATACTTCAAAATAAATATTAACTCAAATGAAAAGTCTTGTAGTCAATTCATCAAAATACATTTATTTTGTCCCTGTTTCAGACTGCTGTTAGGGCTCAAAGGTACCACTGATTATACTTTTATAATCATCAACCTCTGGTAAAGATTGTAGCATTTATTTTGAAGACGGAAGACAAATACAATAAAAGCATATTTTAGCATTGTTAAAGTCTCATCATCTGTCAAATGATTTGTATAAACTGTTAACTTAGTTTGATTTTTTACCATTTTTGAAAAACATGTTCCAAATGAAAATGTGCTTTTTCTGGTAAAGTAAAGCTAATATAAAATAAAGAAATGTATGGTTTTGAATGGTTGCCGAAAAATTGAGAATGAGAAACACACTTTTATATAGAAAAGGCCAATGCTGGAAACCAAATCTCTTTGCATGTCAGGCACCAATGCAAACATCTAAATGATCAAGTATTCCCATTATCACTGCAGAGAGA